GTTACAGATTATCAGAAACTTTATTTACTATTTGAAATTATATGTCAGTAACAATGAAACGTCCCATTCTTGCCAGGAGAATCTAAATCACTTTCATACAAATTAGCCTTGTGGTGCGCGCCTGCGGAAGGGGGCGGCTGGGGAAGGATTGCAGGTAAGATCCCGAGGGGAGGCTCGTGTGCCCGCCCCCGCCCTGGCTCCCAGCGCCAACCCAGGCGGCCGCCATAATAAAGGCGATTTTCTTCTTCAACAACCACGGGAAACTGCGGCTCTCCAAGTTCTACCAGCCTTAAGGTGAAGATATACAACAGCAACCATCAGGGTATCTAAGAAAGATAAAAATATTTGTAATTTCCTAGAAGGAGGATTTTGATAATCAGTCTTAAGCTGTGTAATTTACTGTGACCTATGGAGTTAAATCTAATTAACTGGTGGAACTGACAACAAACTGATTTATAGACATTATGCGACCCTATATTTTGTCTTCTGTGTGGATTCTTCAAAAAGTGAACTTGGCATTTTTAGATCTAATTCAAGTGTTCGCAGAAACCTTAGGCAAATGTTTTTGTCTGTGAACTGGATTTAATTTTCCATGTAGACAAGGTTCACGATATTCTTGCAGAAATTGTTATGGGGGAATGGTATTGGAGCCCAGCATGAATGAGATTGTTACATAATTGATTCAAAAAATAAACTGGAGAGATGTGAGGCTGGCTTAGAAGGAGCTCCAGCCCCTGCTGTATCAGCTGTAAATATGAATCTTCCTGAGATCCCAAGAAATATCAATATTGGTGACATCAGTATAAAAATGCCAAACCTGCCCTCTTTTAAATAAAATATTTAAAAGGCCACTCCCAGGTAAAATCCAGGGGGAAAAGTCATCTAAGTTTACCATGCAGTTGTTTACTAAAAATAGCAGAGGAGAGTTTTAAATTTTGCTCTTGGATTTAAGTCAAGGTACTGTATAGAAATTGTGTAAAATCAGTATGGAAGTTCAATGTTGCTTTTCTTGCTCAGTGGTTTAATTGAGTAGTTCCAGGGTGATTTTTTTTTTTCCTTCTTAAACTGCATTCCTATTCCCACCTAAGGCATGCCTCTGTGTATTGGCTATTACAGTATTTTGAAAAGTAAGATATTTCTTTAATTATGCACAACCTAAAATGTTGGTGTTTTGTATGGATCATCAGTGCAGCATTCCTTAATTCTCTGCTATTTGTCACAAGTGTTATTTAAGAACCAAGTGTGTATTGCATGAAAACATTATGACCTTTTTCTCTTAGTTTAAATAAATTCCAAGATAACTGGACGTTTAAAGCACCTGTCTGACATCTACTTTAGCAATAATTTTATGACTCTCTGAATCAATAAAGTAAATAAAAGTATATTTTGTCACTGTTAAAAAAAGTTAGCCTTGATTTGCAACTGGTTTCAGATAAGGGGTTTCTAGATACAACATTACACATCTTTCTCAGTTTTGTAATTAAAAAAAAAAAAAAAACGGGTCCCTCCATCCACATCACAGACAAGACCTGATGTTAATCCTTACACATATAGCACAAAGCAAAACTATATTTTGAGGCTTGCCCTTGTTATGTTGTGCAGGCTACTCTTCTTTTAATTAATTAATTAATTTAGTTAGTTTTTGTTTGTATGTGGTGCTGAGGATCGAACCCCGGGCCACATGCAGGCCAGGCAAGTGCGCTACCGCTTGAGCCACATCCCAAGCCCATGCAGGCTACTCTTGAACTCTGGGCTCAAGAAATACTTCTACTCTAGCTTCTGGAGTAGCTTAAACTACAGGCACAGGCCACTGACCCACTCACTGTTTTAAAGTTCTCTTTGGTTTTTGGGACTGTAGCTCAGTGGTAGAGCACTTGCTCAAGGTTCTGAGTTTGATCCTCAAAAATACACATGCCCATTTCACTTAAACAGCTTTCTTTCCCAAAATATTATGAAAAAGAAAATAATGTTTTTATTGTCGGTGAGATGTCCTTTGGTTTTCTGTTATGCAGTCTCCTCACTGGAATGAGTCAATAAACCTGGTTGTGTCAGACTACAAGTCCCTAATAATCTTTAAGTTGACTTTTTAAGCTAGAATTACTTATTTTATTTGTATTGGTATTGGGGATTGAGCTCAGGCACTTTTCCTCTGAGATACATCCCCAGTACTCTTTTATGTTTTAATATGAGACAGGGTCTGGCTAAGTTGCTAAAGTTCTTGCTAAATTGCTGAGGTTGGCTATGAACTTGGGCTCCTGCTGTCTCAGCTTCCCTGTCTCTGGAATTGTAGGCATGCATCACCCTGCCTAGCAAGGAGGTTCAACTGAGGTTTGTACAAGACCCTCAATGCAGTAGATGTAGATCAGGACCCTCAACTTGTTAAAATGTGCTCATCAAATTCAAAAATTCCTTGTTTCTCTTGGATACAATTGCATGGGGGAGGTTGTCTTTCTGTATTTCATTACTTCTTTCTTTCTGTACATAAATGAGTGCTGGGAAATAAACCCAGGGCATCATGAATACATCTATTCATGAGTTGCATCCCCATTATCAAGTTGGATGATCAGGGGGTGTTGGAGATGAAACCCAGGGCCTCCTGTATGTGGGGAAGAAATCAAATCTTAGAGATAAAGTGATTACAACTTTAAACTAGCCTTTATAGAAACTTTAAAGGCATGTAAAAGTCTATTGCAATCCTACTTGCTGAACATACAGTTCTGTGAAAACTATAAAGATGTGCTGGGGATATAGTTCAGTGGTAGAGCACTTGCCAGGCATATACATAATCTGGGTTCCATCTGCAGCATAAAACAACAACAACAACAACACTATGTCTGTGATCTCAGTTACTCATGAGGCTGAGACAGGAGAATCACATGTGTGAAGCTAGCCTGGGCAATTTAGGGAGTCCCTATCTCAAAATAAATAATAAAAGCTCAGTGATAAGGTGCCCTCTAGGTTCTATTCCCAGTACTATATTAACAAATAAATAAATGAAGCAGAACCTGGAAACTTTGTTTGTTTGTTTATAAGTACTAGGATTGAATCCAGAGGTTCAACTGAGTTACATCACCAGCCCTTTTATGTTTTATTTTAGTTCACAGCCTCTCTAAGTTTCCCAGGCTGGCCTTGAATTTGTGAACCTCTTGCCTCAGCTTCCTGAGTAGCTGGAATGACAGACATGCACCACCACATCAGGCAAGATCCCTTTTAAACACACCCAAATAGATCTTATTATGTTTCCCTAAGCAACAGAATTGAATGTGTTTAATATTATATGTTTATTTTAGGATATTATCAAAGTTTTTATTTTTCTTTTTTTTTTAGTACTAGGGATTGAACCCAGGAGTGCTTTACCACTGAGCTATATCCCCAGCCCTTTTTAAATTTTTTTCTTTTGAGACAGGGTCTCCCTAAATTGCTTAGGGCCTCCCTAAATTGCTGAGGCTAGTTTGGAACTGATGATTCTTCTGCTTCAGGCTCCCAAGTAGAGTTGCAGGTATTACAGGTATCATATATGAGCTATCACACCTGGCTATACCAAAGCTTTTGTTAAAACACAAAACAAAACTTTTCAAGAAAGCACTGGGTATGGTGAGGCACACCTATAATCCCAGGCTGAAGCAGGAAGGTCACCAGGCAGCCTCAGCCCTGAGTTTTCTTTTTCTTTTTTTTTTTAAAGAGAGAGAGAGAGAGAGAATTTTAATATTTATTTTTTAGTTTTCGGCAGACACAACATCTTTGCATGTGGTGCTGAGGATCGAACCTGGGCCGCATGCATGCCAGGCGAGCGCGCTACCGCTTGAGCCACATCCCCAGCCCCAGCCCCAGCCCTGAGTTTTCAATCCCCAGTGTGTGGGGGGGGGAAGTGTTTTTTGACCATAATCCTAGATGCAAAAAGAAAAAGAATTAATGCAACATATGTGAAGCAGTAGCCAACCGTTTTCAGTACCATATATAAACTCTAAAGTTCTGTGGTACAGAATAAGTGCCATTAGCCCTGGGCATGTTGATACACATCTGTAATCCCAGCAGTTTTAGAGATTGAGGCAGGAGGATTGCAAGCTCAAGGCCAGCCTGGGCAATTTAGTCAGACTGTTGCAGAAAGCTTGGTCCTTGTCCCCAATGCCAATCCAATAATGAGAACATGTTTTTTTTTTTTTTTTAAAGGAAAAAGTTTATTGCTTTGCTAGCAAAAGAGAAACACAGTGGACTCCTGTCCCAAAGGCTGTGATTCTGCCCATCAGCAGGAACAGAGGGCTCAGAGAAAATGAGATTAGGGAGGAGAGATTAGAAAGGAAATCAAGGAAAAGAAGATCAAAGAGGAGGAAAGATTAGGGAAAAGAAGATCAGGGAGAAGAAGGTTGGGAAAAGAAAAAAATATGTAATTTTCAAACCCACAAGTCAAAGCATCAAGTGAACCCTGTTATAAAACCTTGTCTCAAAATAAAAAAAAATAAAATGAACTGGTAATATAGCTCAGTGGTAGAGTACCTCTATATTCAATCTCCAGTAAAAAACAAAACAAATTAAAAAAAATCACAATGAGCTACTGTGATCCACTAGCTTATATCATGAAGAAGATGAACTTCATATAATGGTTTGAGTTTGAACAGACTTTTCAAGGTGAGAAAAAATTGGGAAAATTATGTATTGTGGGTTTTTTTTTTTAATAGAAATGTACCATTTTATTACAAAGTCTCACAAAAATGAAAATAGTATCTTAGAAAGGAAGCTAGACTACCAACCTTCACCTGTGGAACTGGGGGGGAAGACAGGGCAGTGTGAGTTTCTTGGCTCTCTTGAGGCCAGTGGGAAGGTAAGAAAACAACCAATGGCTGATGTTAGGAGTCTGAAAAGTACAGGGGGTCCCTGAAGACCCACCCATCCCTTCTAGAACACTTGGCAAGGGCACCTTTCCAAAGGTACTAAACAGACCCTTGTCATTTTAGGATTTTTCTTATGGTTACATCCTTTCCGCCCAGATCTGCACTGTAGATGGTTCAAAAGACTTAAAGAGGGATGGGGAACAAGGCAACTGCTGGAAGTTTCCTCAACAGAGCTGCCTTGGGATCACGGCCCTGGTTCCTATCTAGTCCCTGGGGACATTTATATTTAATATATTTTATATAAATACACAGAGAAATAGAAAATATAAAAATCTGAGGGATTGGAGGAAAAAGGTGGGGAACTTGGCCAGAAGCCAAAGCTGCAGAAGTCTGCTCAGGCCAACTTGACCTCCTCTTTGACCCCTTTGGCTTCTGGCTTCTCCTCCTTGGTTTTCTCCTCTTCTGTGACTTCTTTCTTCTCCTCTGGGTCTTTCTCTTTTTCATCCTCTGTTTTGACTCTCTTGACTTTTTTGAAGTTGGAAGAGTTTTTTCGGCCACCCTCTCCTTCCTCATCCGAGTCAGAGAATTCTTCCTCACAGGCAATTCGTTTGTCAGAGGAACAGATCGAGATTCGCTTGTCAGGGTCTTCTTCGTCCTCATCACCACTCTCCTCTGGGATGGCATCCTCGGGAATGGCCTGCATTTGGACCCCAGGTGAATGGGGCAGCATTCTCAGGTTCTCAAAGAGCCGCTGTTTTATCTTCTCCAGGTACTCATTCATGTTCTGGTTAGTCATGTTGAAAGAACTGATGTGAAGCTTGAAATCTGGTCCAAAGTACTTGAAGTAGTCATTGTATGGAAGCTCATTGGAGATCTCTGTGTCCACAGCCACAGCTGTTTCATATGTCCAGCACCGGGCCACATTACGAATGGTGTAACCACCTCCTCCTAGCATCAGCATAGGCAGGTTGAAGCTCTTGACAAATTCCACACACTTGGCATGCCCTTTGATGGTCAGATTGAAGCAACCTAACCGATCCCCAGACAGGGAATCTGAGCCACATTGTAAGACCACCGCACTAGGCTGGAACATCTCCATTACTTTGGATATGGCCAGCTTCAAAATGGCCTCATAGGACTCATCATCAATCCCATCTCAGAGTGGGTAGTTAACAGCATAATACTTGCCTTTGCTAGCCCCAATATCCCGTAGGTCCCCAGTTCCTGGGAAGTACTCTCCATATTTATGAAAGGACACAGTCATGACCCGGTCTGTGGTATAGAAGGCCTCTTCCACGCCATCGCCATGGTGAATATCAATGTCAATATACAGCACCCTCTGGTGATACAAGTTCCAGGATGGCCAAGCCTGATGCCTCCAACTTCTTTGCGTGGTGCAGGCCCCCAGCCAATTCACAGCGATGTCTGTCTGTCTGCTGCTTATTAAGTTTCACGGCACTTGCGACAGAGCCACCAGTAGACAACTGACAGAACTGAAACAGGCCATCGAATACTGGACAGTCCTCACCAACATTGAATCTCTGCATCTGCTTGCTATACTCAGACATGTTATCTGGACGAATGGAGCGCAAGAATTTGATGTTGTCATCACTGTGGTACTTGGTCATTTCCTCAGCATTGGTTTTGTGAGGGCGATAAATTTCCATTTTTCGGTAGAGACCATAGTTGAGCAGCAAATTGTGAGTCATGCGGATTCGGTGAGGCTTCATTGGGTGGCCTTGTCCATAATAGTAATTTCCAACATCCCCGTCGTAGTAGTAACAGACTTTCCTCCTGGTGCCCTGAGACTGCGCCATCTTGTTGCCTCCTGTCCCCTGTATTGTGTTTTAAATATGAAATCAGTGCCAGCAAGAAACACATTTATTTAAAACTTTAAAACTTTATTATTTTTTATTTTTCTTTCCATTGACATTATTATTGTCATTGTTCTTCTTCCTCCTCCTCTTCCTCCTCCTTTTTTTTTTTTTAAATAGAGGATTGATCCCAGAGCCTTATGCAAGTGTTCTACAACTGCCCCCCATCCCCAGCTCATTTTTATTTTTTATTTTGGGACAATCTTCCTAAGTTGCCCAGGCTAGCCTTCAACTTGTGATCCTCTTGCCTCAACCTCTTGAGTAGCTGGAATCACAGACATGTGCTCTCACACCCAGCAAAATTTTTCTTAAAATGTATATTAGTACATGACCTCTTAAATTGCTTCCTATGTTTTTAAATTCAGAAAAAAAAGTAAATGTATTTATACATTTTCTTCCCCGGGAGATAAAAGCACTGGGAATTTGATAGGTTCATTTATTAATTTACTAAATATTTGTTTAGCATCTACTATAAACCAGATAAGGTTTTAAGTGGTAAATAAAAGAAATATGCTGTACTGATTATAACATTTTTAGGGTCTAGCTTTGTTGCTCAGTGGTAGAGAGTTGCCAGACATTTGCAAAGTTCTGGGCTTGATCTCCAGCATGGGGGAAAAAAATCACAGGGAGCTCACTAATAGACAAATAGTTTTAAATGCTTCAAAGGAAAAGAACAGGTTGAAGGGCTAGCAATTAAATGCAAAATCTACTTAGGGTGGTCACAGGCATGCTGAGGGAAGTCTCTGGAAATGAAATGCTTGGTTGAAAAGAGTAAGCCAGATTGTTTTGTCTGCTTATTTAATTATATGTAGGATGTATATAAATGATATATTAAATAGCCTACATATTTAATTAATTTATTTATTTTTGAAATTGGTTTATGTAACTGTGATGGCTGACAAGCCTGAAAATTGCTAGGGCAGGCCAGTAGGTTGGAATTCTTGGGCAGGAGATGATGCTGTAGTGTTTTGTTTATTTTTGTACCAGGGATTGAACCCAGGAATGCTTAACCACTGAGCAACATTCCCAGGCCTATTGCATATTTTATTTGGAGATGGGGTCTCCCTGTGTTGCTTAGCACCTTGCTGTTGCTGAAGTTGGCTTTAAATTCACAATCCTCCTGCCTCAGCCTCCTGAGCTGCTGAGATTACAGCTTTATGCCACTGTGCCCAGCCCTTTATTTATTTTGAGATAGGGTTTTTCACTAAGTTGCTTAGGACCTCACTAAATTGCTGAGGCTGGCCTCGAAGTTTGATACTCCTGCCTCAGTCTCCCCAGTGCCTGGGATAAACAGGCATGAGCCACCACGCCCAATTTGATACTATAGTTCTGAGGCAGAATTTCACCTTCTAGGAAATCTGTTTTTTCTTAAAACTCTTCAAGTGATTGAATGAAGCCCAGCTAGATTATTGAGGGTGATCTCCATTACATAAATTGATAGTACATGTTAGTTACATCTACAAAATATCTTCATAGCAGGATTTTGATTAGTGTTTGATTAAATAACTGAGTTCTGTCCAGGCGCGATGACACACTCAGGTAATTCCAGTGATGTGGGGAAACTGAGGCAGGAATATGGCAAGTCCGAGCCCAGCATCAGCAACTCAGTGAAATCCTAGCTCAAACTAAAAAGAAGTGAGAATGTAGCTCAGTGGTAAAGTGCCCCTGAGTTCAATCTCCAATACAAAAAAAAAAAAAAAAAAAAATGAAAAATAGGTACCGGGTGTGGCTTATTAAAATTAACATTAAAAAAAAAAAAACATTTTCTTGAAAAGAAATGCCCAGATGGCCAGCAATACGCTCCTCCTGCCTCTGCTTCTAGAGTACCTGAAGATTGTAGGCATGCGCCACCGGCCCAGTTGCGACTTGCCAATATCACCTAGGAGCCAGGAAACATGGTCTTACTTAGTGGAGGCTGAAAACAGAAAAGGAAAGGTCTCCAGGCATTCCTGAAAAGCAACAGTAATCCTCCCACAGAAGTCACTAACCCCGGAGCAGTTGCCATTTTCTGAAAAAAAAAAAAAAGTCCTGAATAGAACAAAGGACTAAGAAAAGGCGAATTTGCTCCCGGGTACTGGCAAATTGAACCCAGGGGTACCACTTAGCTACATCCCCAACCCTTTTTATTTATTTATTTTGCGACAGGGTCTCATTAAAATGCCCAGGCTGGACAGGAATACGATCCTCCTGCCTCAGCCTCTAGAGTACCTGAAGATTGTAGGCATGCGCCACCAGGCCCAGTTGCGACTTGAGCTAGGGTATCCGTTTTTTCCTGCCTTTAGACTTTGGAGTCCGGATTTCTCAGTCCTTGGGACTCAGATTGGATCACACCACCAGCTTTCCTGGTTCTCCAATTTACAAAGTATAGCTCATTTATGAGCTGCGCCTGCTGCTTCTTCTCGGGGTCCAGAATTTGCCCTTGCAACAGGATTTCGTTCAGTTTCTCCAGTTTTTTTTTTTTGTGTGTGTGTGTGTGTTTGTGTGTGTGTGTGTGTGTGCCTGCCTGGTTGGGAGTTCGTGGTCAGGAAGGTGGACGCCGGAGGGGAAGACCCTGGCAAATTTTTGTACGGGGATTGGGGGAAGGGTAGAGGGACTGGGCAGTTTTGGCCAAGGGTGGACTACATCAGAACATTAAAGACCATTTCCATTCTCTACCGCATTTCCCAAAAGCTCCTCTTATTTTGTGCTCGGGGTTGAATTCCGAGTGTCATGCATGCTAGTCAACTGAACTATATCGGTTCAGTAAAAGGGTCCCAGATCATCCTGGCCAATTCTGACCCGGAGTTCAAGAAAGGGAGAGGAACCAAAGAAATCGCCTCGCAGCGGGCAAAAAGCCGAGCTCACCTTCTGAGATCGAAAAGGTGGAGTGGAAATGTCGCAATTGGGCGGATTAGTCTGCAGTCAACCCACTCTGGTCACACCCGAGGTAAAAGTACCAGAGAGTGGAAATTTTTCTGCGTGCTTACTGAAACAAAACACAGCCTCAGGGGGCTCTTAGATCAAAATTGGCTGTGAACTCTTTTAATCCTTTTCGGTGCTGGGCCGTGGGGGGGGGGGGGGGGACCGGGTGAGCGAAGTAAGGTAAGTTGAAGGATCTGAAAATCCTACAGTCGCCAGGATCTGGGATAAGAGATTCTACCGCTTTTTCCTAGCAAACGGTTTTGCTATCACAGATCTGGGTTGGGGGTGGGGGGTAAATAGATTTTGCGAAAATTATAAAATACAGAAGAGTACAAATATTCGTATTACCTGGAATTAACGTTTTGGATACTGTTTCTCACTGCTCCTGGCACTTCGGGAAAACAGTAACAAAATGCCATTTACTCATCCTTTTCCCCAGCCCAAGGAATTACCCGATTCAATTAAAAACAAAATGAATCTGGGCTTGGTGACTCACGCCTGTAATCCCATAGAGAAGAGAGACTGAGGCTGGTGAATTGCAAGTTCAAAAGCCAGCAACTTAGTGAGACCCGGTTTCAAAATTAAAAAATAGAAAAGCTTGGGGATGTGGTTCAGGGGTTAAGCACTCCTAGGTTCAAACCCCAGAACAAAAAAGAAAAAGAAAAAAGATGAAGTTGTTTTGTTTGTTTGTTTGCTTGTTTGTTTGTTTTTAGGGGGAGAGGGGGGATGTACGGGGGATTGAACTCACGGGCACTGGACCACAGAGCCACATCCTCAGCCAGCCCTATTTTGTATTTTAAATAGAGACAGGGTCTCACTGAGTTGCTTAGCACCCTCTCGAGCTCTGGAATTACAGTCTGGTGCATCCCTAGCCCCATTACTTTGAGATAGGATCTCGCTAAATTGTCCAGGCTGGCCTCGAATTTGCAAACCTCCTGCCTCCGCCTTGGGAGTTGCTGAGATTACAGAATTGCGCTACTTGCCATGGGCTCAAACTAGGACTTTTGTGTTTTGGGGAGTGGTGGTGGATGGGTACCAGGGATTGAACTCAGGAGCGCTTAACCATTGAGTTCTGCGCTCTCATAACAGCCTTTTTTTTTTTTTTTTTTTTTTAACGTTGAGACAGGTTTCGCTAAATTGCCTATGGCCATGTTACATTGCTGAAGCTGGCTTTGAACTTGCGATCCTTTTGCCTCCGCCTCCTGAGCCACTGGGATTACCGGCGGTAGCCACTGTGCTTAGCTTCAAGACAATAATTTTTAAACTGTGGGTCATTAAATACATTTTTTAAAAATTAGGGCCAGTTTTAAAAACAATTTTTTGTCATAAGTGTTAGATTTTATTATGTTATTATTTTAAAAAAAAATAGATTTAAATATATGAAAGCAGTGGTTACATAGCAAGGATACTTTCCCAACCTTTTTTGTTTCAAGAGTTTTGTTGTTTTTCTAGGGAATGAACCCAGAGGGAACTACTATTGAACTACATCCCCAATCCTTATTTGTTTGCCTCATTTTTGAGACAAGGTCTGCTAAATTGTCCAGGCTGACATTGAACTTGTGACCCTCCTGCTATGGCCTCCTTTGTCACTGGGATTATAAGTGTACACTGCTTTTATCCAGCCTTGTTTCCAAGTTTATTTTGTTTTGTTTTTTCTAGTGCTGGGGATTGAACCCAGGGCCACCTTAACTACTGAGCTACAGCCCCACCCTTTTAATTTTTATTTTGAGACACAGTCTGGCTAAGTAGCCCAGGCTGTCCTCAAATTTGCTATCCTCTTGCCTCAGCCACCCTAAATCCGCTGGGATTATAATCTTATAATTATAATTTTATAATTCCAAGGGGTTTTGTTGTTGTTGTTTTTTGTACCAGCGATCGAACTCAGGGGCACTCAACCACTGAGCCACATCCCCATCCCTATTTTGTATTTTATTTAGAGACAGGGTCCCACTGAGTTGTTTAGCGCCTCGTCCTTGCTGAGGCTGGCTTTGAACACGCGATCCTCCTGTCTCAGCCTCTCGAGCTGCTGGGATTACCGGTGTGCACCACCATGCCTGGTCCGTGATTAGCTTTTTGAGGCACAATTAAAAATGTTTCCAAGGATGCTGAGTAGTCAAGGTGGGTGCTAATAGGGCGAGGCGCAAAGAGCGACCTTGGGAGAAGTCCCACGCCCCGAAAAGGAACCCACACAGGATCAACGCCATCCACTAGGTCAAGGCACGCTCCCAAGATTAAGAGACCTATTGGATAAAACGGCAAGGTGCCGCCCACAACGTTCACCAGCCAATGACTGTGCGGCAAGGGTAGAGCAGGGCGGGCCAGGGGCGGGGCGAGCCTCGCGCTGGCTCCTTAAGTAGCGGCTGCGTGGGTGCCCTAGCTGAGGGCTTCTACGACGGCGCTGTTGGGTGGTGCAGAGGCTGATAGGTCCGGCGCGCAGAATCTTCGCAGAACCATGTCTAGGCAAGAAGCAGGAGCCAACGCTTCGTCTTGGGTCGTTGCTTCGCGGCAAAACTCGACTGCGCCCCGGGCTCCGGAGAGGAGGCCGGCGGAGGAGCTGAATCGACGAGGTCGGGGAAGTAGTAGGGGCGGCAGAGGTGGCGGCTGGAGAGACTCTTCTGGCCTCCCTGAAGCTGTGGCGGCTGGTCGCGGGGAACCGCCGCTCTGCTTTGGATTCAAGAACGACTTGGTCGGAGCGGTGATCGGTGAGAGCAAGAGAATGGATGTGGCGGGCAAGGGTAGGGAGGAATATGGGTGGGGCCCAGGCAAGGGTACCCCTCCGCAATTGCTCTTCTGCCTATCAGCTGCCATCTAATGAGATACAGATCTCTGCCTGGGATAATTTCTAAAACCTTGGGCTAGAATAGTTTAATGCATGTTTTAGTATTTTATAGAAATGTTTTGGGGGAGCAACTCCCAGAAGACGTAGATTATCTTAGGGGAAAAGAGGGATGCTTAAAAGATCAGGCCTGAGCCTAGCGGCTCACGCCTGTAATCCTAGCGGCTCAGGAGGGTGAGATAGGAGAATCATGAGTTCAAAGCCAGCTTCAGCAAAAGCAAGGCACTAAGCAACTTAGTGAAGCCCTGTCTCTAAATAAAATACATAGGATTGAGGATGTAGCTCAGTGGCCAAGTACTCCTGAGTTCAATCCTGGGTACCTAAGGGGGAAAAATCAGGTCTGAGGACAGACAGCTTACTCCCAATCAATTCTCAACAGTTAACAAGTAGGTGTTAAGTGAGGCCACTGTGCTACAGTGCACTTGCTTTGTTGAATCTGTATCTAATACTGTGTGTGTGTGTGTGTGTGTGTGTGTGTGTATAGATGGATGCATGGATAGATAGATAACGTGTGCTGGGGATTGAACCCAGGATTCAATGAATGCTAAGCACACACTGTATCACTGAGCTGCATCCCTATCCAGATCTGATTTTTAACTGGTGTAAGAGTGTGACAAATTATTATTACTATAATTATTATTATTATTATTATTATTATTATTATTATTAGCAGTGCTGGAGATATAATCCACTGCCTTATGAATGCTAAGCAAATGCTCTACTAATCCACAAACCCAGCCCCAATTTAATAAGTGTACAGTACTGTATTAACAATAAGAACAAAGTTGCACCCCAGATCTCTAGAACTTGGTATCCCACGTCCCCTTTCTTGGCAACCACCATTCTGTTCTGGTTGAGTTTGGTAATTTTAGATATATAAATATGTAAGAGTTATAAAGTAATTGTCTTTTAGTGATTGGCTTATTTTATTTAGTGTAACAATGTTCTCAAGCCTCAGTGCACTTTGTAGCATATGACAGGATTTTCCTTTTAAGGCTGAGTGTGATACTCCATTTTATATATGTACCACATTATATTTATCCATTGCTGAGTACCTGGGGTTCTTGAGTATTATGAAAATACTTCTATAAACATAGGAGTGTAAATGTCCCACCCTCCTTTTTTTTATGCCAGGGATGGAACTCAGGGTGCACATGACCACTGAGTTACATCCCCAACCCTATTTTGTATTTTATTTAGAGAGAGGGTCTCAGAGTTGCTAAGTGCCTCACTTTTTGCTGAGGCTGGCTTTGAACTCTGTGGTTCTACTTCAGCCTCCCGAGCCACTAGGATTACAAACACGACCCACTGTGCACACAAATATCCTTTTGACATTCCCAGTTTCAGTTCTTTTGGATGTATACTCTGAAGTGGGAATGCTGGACTATGTCAGGATCTCACAAAACCCCCACTGGAGATTGAACTCAGGGTGTCACCTATGCTAAGCAATGTTTTTACAGGGCCTCACTAAATTGCTAAGACTGGCCTTGAACTTGTGATCCTTCTGCCTCAGCCTCCTGAGTCAATGGAATTATAGGTATGCAGCACCATACCTAGCTTTTTTTTTTTTTTTTTAACTCCATACTGTTTTTCATAGTGGCTATAATATTTATTTTACAATCCCACCAAAAGTGCACAAGAAGTTCAATGTCCTTACAATATCACTAACACTTGTTATTTTTACTTTTTCATAATCACCATTCTAACAGGTATAAGGTGATGTATCTTGTGGTTTCAATTTCTGTCTCCATTTACCTGATTAGTGATATCAAACATTTTATTCCTTCCTATTGGCCATTTTGGAAAGTGTCTACTCAACTCCATTATTTATTATTTTTATTTTTTATTTTTATTATATTTATTATTATTTATTCTTTGCTGGGCTAGGAATTGAACCCAGAAGCTTTACCACTGAGCTACATCCACAGCCCATTTTATTTTATTTTATTTTATTTTTTGTACCAGGGATTGAACTCAGGGGCACTCAACCACTGAGCAACATCCCCAGTCCTATTTTGTATTTTATTTAGAGATAGGGTCTCACTGAGTTGCTTTAGCGCCTCACCATTGCTGAGGCTGGCTTTGAACATGATACTCCTGTCTCAGCCTCCCCAGCTGCTGGGATTATAGGCATGTGCCACTGTGCCCCACCCTTTTTTTATTTTGAGACAGGGTTTCACTAAGTTAGAATCTTGCTGAATTGTTGAGGCTGGCCTCAACAGTCCCTGGCAGTCCCTCCTGCTTCAGTCTCTGGTTGCTGGGATTACAGGCATGCTCCACTTTGCTCAGCTACTAACCATTTTTTATCTGAATTTTTGTTGTGGTGGTGAATAGTTGTTTCAGTGTTGATCCATTAGTTTTTTTCATAGGTTGGCGTAGGGTTCTTAGACTCCATTGCTGAGAAAGAAGCCTCCTTCTACCACCCACAAAAATTTGTGATACTTGGAAAATTTGGAATAAAAACCTTCCCTCTTTCTAAACAGAAAGTGTTTACTGCACCCTAGGAACTTTCTTGGAAAAATTTGGGGAAGAGCTAGAAAAGGTTCTTTGAGGAAAGTAGGTAAAATCACTTTTGATTTCAACTTGCAATCATATTCCTTCACTCTGTTACTTTTAAAAACAGGTCGTGGAGGGTCAAAAATAAAAGAAATCCAAAATATGACAAATACCAGGATACAGGTAAGTCATCTATTTGTTTTGTTTTTGTTTTCATAGTGGGGATTGAACCCAGCAGTGTTTTTATCAGCGGTACATCTCCAGTTGTTGTTGTTGTTGTTTTAACATAGAACATGCTTTAATTTCATATAAAAAGAAAATAAGCAACTAAATACAATGGCTATTTTAATCAGCTTTTGGTCTTTTTTTTTTTTTTTTTGAGATAGGGTCTCACTAATTTGAGGGTATCACTAAATTGCTGAAAGTGGCCTCAAACTTGCCATCCTGCTGCCTCAACCTCCTGAGTCACAGGGATTATAGGCCTGCACCATCATGCCCAACTGTCATATGTGTCCTTAAATCCTAAAAGCATAATTCATTCCAAAGGGAGGACTTACCTCTGTTTCTGCTCAGTTATTAACATGCTGTCATAAGTTGCCAAAGCTCTTCATGATTGTCAAGATCATTATGATCATTTTACTTGAGCCATGTTCTGTTCCGTGTATAGGTTTTGAGACTTTCAGAGACATAGATTTTTTTTTTTTTTTTTGGTACTAGAGATTGAACCCAGGGGCACTTAACCACTGAGCTACATCCCCGGCCCTTTTTATATTTAGAGACAGGGTCTCACTGAGTTGCTTAGGGCCTCACTAAATTGCCAAGGATGGCTTTGAACTCATGATCCTCCTACCTCAACCTTTTAGGCCACTGGGATTACAGGTATGCATCACCACACTTGGCTAGATCTTTTTTTCTTTAAGGGGGAAAGATATATTTTGACTTCTTGTTTCAGAGGTTCCAGACTATAGTTGCTTGGTCCCAGTGCTATGGCCTGAGGTGAAGCAGAACATCTTGGTGGGGCAGGTGTGGTGGAGCAAAGCTGCTCACCACCTGGCAGCCAGGAAGCAGAGGGAGAGGGAGAGCCAGAGGTGTAAGTCTTTAGATTTAAATTTTTTTTAGTTGTAGATGGATACTATATTTTATGTGCTGAGGATCGAACCCAGTGCCTCACACATGCAAGGCAGGCACTCTACCACTGAGCTATAGCCCCAGCTGCAAATATTTAGATTTGATCTTCACTTAAGAATTATATCTGTGAGGGCTGGGGATGTGGCTCAAGCGGTAGCGCGCTCGCCTGACATGTGTGCGGCCCGGGTTCAATCCTCAGCACCACATACAAAGATGTTGTGTCCGCCGAAAACTAAAAAATAAATATTAAAAAATTCTCTCTCACTCTTTAAAAAAAAAAAGAATTAACGTTTAAAAAAAAAAAGAATTATATCTGTGAGATATTCATCATGTCCAAAATGACTCCCTGTCTGAACTCCTCCTCTCAAACCTTGGCTGCCTCCTGTGTTCACAATATTAGTACAAGAGAATGATATCATTTACTGAGTTCTGAAGCCAGAAATCTGATTATCTTTTGTGGTTCTTCCTTCTTCATCATTGAGTCTTGTCTGTTCACTGTACTTCTCAAGGGGAAATGTCATTGTTAGTATTCTCCCTTCACTGTACAGACTGCTTCCATTCTGATCCCCTCTAACAATTATCTAGTGGAGTCTAAGCAGTTTTTCTAAAACACAAATTGTGATCTGCTTATACCATGTACTTCTGCTATGATGTTCTGCCTCACCTCAGACCCAAAGGAATGGAGCCAGCTAAATGTGGACTGAAACCTCTGAAAGCATGAGCCAAAATCTTTCTTCCTTATCAGTTGACATTCTCAGGCACTAATCATTTTTAACCTCAAATCTAAAAAACAGGCTGAAAAAGAGGCCTTGAAAATACAGAGAAGTGATCAAAGATGGGAGAATCAGAAAAATTCGGAATCAGGAGAATCAGAAAACTGCCTCTCCCCAGAGCCAGAACAACTAAAGATAAACAGACAGAAAAGTGAACATCACTTGCCGTTAACCAAGATCAACTCTGCAAAAAGGCATGATAATAACTTTTGGCAAGATTCTGCTTCACCGGATACAATCCACAAACAGGAAAAAAAGCCTTTTAAAAATACGAAGAAGATTAAAAATAGGCATTGGAAGAAATCAGCATTTCTAACTGAAGTGAGCCAAAAGGACTGTTATGCTGGGGCAAAGTTTAGTAATTCACCACCTCCTAGTATTCTTCCAAAGCCTCCTAATCACTGGCTTGAAAGAAGCACTTTTGAAAATTCCAACCAAAATAGGGAGCTTATGGAAGCAACTTAAGGCTGCTAAAAATTCAAACTTAGATTTATATTGTATATGTATTATATGTATGTTGTACTTGAAAGGTACATTGTATTTTTGTTATGAAAGTATGTATTTTGACCTGCCAACGTGGTAGGTATTTTGTGTATACATACAGTGGAGAAATTTCAAGTTGTTCTAGGGCACATGGAAGACTGATTATTTGCATAAGGTACTGAGATTTTTTTCAAGAAACACCTCTCAAATATCAAAGTGAAGATTTAAATGTGCAGTTTACTAATGCAATACTGAAGTGTAAATCTGTGGCACAATCATTGTAAACATGGGTTTTGTCTGTTTCTTGAAATTTATTTCTGCCTTCTGGAAAAATATTTTTAATATATATTTAAGTTATAGGTGAACACAATACCTTTATTTTTATGTGGTGCTAAGAATCCAACCCAGTGCCTCACACATGCTAGGCAAGTGCTGTACCACTAAGCCACAATCCCAGCTCCTATTCCCATTTTTGCCAAACTCAATTTCTTAATTTTGCTATATAAGCCATTATTCAAATTTAAAATGCTTCTAATTTTAATGCCAACAAATTGGTTGTAATCAAGTTTTTAAAGTAATAATAATTTTGGGCTAGAGTTGTTGGTCACAGTTAAAGTGCTCACTTAGCATGCGTGAGATGCTTGTTTCGATCCTCAGCACCAAATAAAAATAAATTAAAGATTGTGTCCACCTATAGCTAAAAAATAAATTAAAAAAAAATAATAATTTTCCCCTCCAATTAAAACATTGTGTTCATGTTCCTTTCCTACATAAAATCTATCATGGCATCTTAGACTTTAAGTCCAGACTCCTCAGCATAGTCCAATGACCTGGAGTGTTTAACTTCCCTTACTGTCTTGAACACTACCCATTTCCAGATGCTCTCCTATGATTGGTATCTTCTTAAAACTAACTCCTACTCATTCAGGTTAGCTTAGTTATCACATTAGGGATGTCTAAGGCTTCCTGCTCCCTGCTCCCCATTCTATGTAGGTGTCCCTTTTCCATTGCAGCATCTATGACTGCCTATTTCGGTACTTAAACAAAGTTGTTTCTGTAAACCCTACAGAGGATAAACACTGATTCACCAGCCCAAGACAGCATTTAATGTATAGTACTTCCTAGATAAATTTTCAGTGAGGTTATCTGCTGTTAGACACCTATAAAAGTGTTATAAATTCTATCCTAAATGTCATAACATCAGACTTTGAAAATTTACCTTCAGCTGGGAAGGGTGGCACATACTTGTAATCCCAGAGGCTCAGGAGGCTGAGGCAGTGGGAGTGGAAATTCAAGGCTAGCCTCAGCAATTTAGCGAGGCCCTAAGTAACTTGGTGAAACCCTGTCTGAAAAACAATGGGCTAAGGATGTGGCTCAGTGGTAAGGTGCCACTGGAGTCAATCCCTTGTAAGAAAAAGAAAATCTTGACCTGCATAACAGTATACATGTCTGAGTAGAGAACTGCATGAAATTAAAAATGTAAAAGTAACTTGGAAATTCAATAAATTTTTATTTATTTTTCTAAGCTGAGACAAGTGGCATATGCCTGTAATCCCAAGGACTCAGGAGGATGAGGCAGGAGGTTCACAAGACTGAGGCCAGTATAGGCAACTTAGACCCTGTCTCAAAATAACAAAACCAAAAAAAAGGGGTCAGGGATGTAGCTTAGTGGTAGAGTGCCCCTGGGTTCAATGTCTAGTAGCAATAAAATAATAAAGTAAACTTTTATCCACATAATATATAATATAGTGTAATCCACCTCAGCCCTATAATTCTATAAGCCTAACAAAATAGTCCCATCTTATAAAGGAAAGAACTCAAAGTATTGTCACCTGTCAGATTGATGTTCTGATTTCCCCCCTAAAACTTGCTGAATTGTTTTGTTTTGGGCCGTACTGGGGATGGAACCCAGTGGTCTTCTACTACTGAGCTATATCCCCAGGCCTCTGTGTTTTTTATATTGAAATAGGGTCTCACTAAGTTTCTAACACTGCCTTGAACTTGAAACCCTCCTTCCTCAGCCTCCTGAGTTCCTGGAATTAGAGGGCAATGCCACCATATTCCCCCTGAATTAATTTTTCCAGCTGTTAGTTTTTTTTTTTTAATTTACAAATTATCTTGCTTCTCCCCATCCAATCAGGAGGTAAATCCAGAGTATATAACAAGCCTTCTCTTTAGAAATGTAGATATTGAACTATAGTAATGCTATGTACTATTATATTATTTGAAATTGAGTGCTTATTTGGGATAGGTGTGAGGGGACTTCATTCTCATCTATTCTTCCTCCTATATTCAGATAATAAAAGGAAATCCTGAGGCAGAAGTCAAAATTTTTGGCAACAAGGCCATGCAAATAAAAGCAAAAGCAGTGATAGAAAATTTTGTTAAAAAACAAGAAAATAATAATTCTGAACGCAAAGTTGGTAAGTAATTTTTACACACTGAAGCCCTTTAAAATTTTAAAACTTTGTTATAATCCATTATACTTGATTCCTTTCTTGAGACACAGGTTTAGATTTTCTTAAATCTAGTATTTTTTTTTCTACAGAAGCCCAGATTATTCCTCAATTCCTCAAATTGAAACTGTACTTTAGCTTTACTTCCAGCTACATATAATAGAAAATAACCCTTTAATACACCTTCTTCAACATTAATGGTGAGGATTTGTCTTGGGCTTCTGACTCTGGTCTCTTCCCTAGATCAAGCTTGACTTTGAAAACTGCTTAGTTATTTGAAATATTAAAAATTTGACATCTATCTAGAGAAAAGGCCATTATTGAACCATATATAGATGTGAGATGAAAGTAAAACAGAAACTTGAGTTCTGATGGCCACATTTCCCCTCCTTAGTGTTTCTTGGAAAGGAACTTCACCTCCAAGGCGACATGATTTTTATCTGTCAAGCTGGGTAATGTCTACTTCACGGGAATATTATAAAGATTAGATAATGGGCTGGGGATGTGGCTCAAGCTGTAGCGCGCTCACCTGGCATGTGCGGGGTGCTGGATTCGATCCTCAGTATCACAAACAAATAAAATAAAGATGTTGTGTCCACCGAAAACTAAAAATAAATAAATAAATATTTAAAAATTCTCTCTCTCTCTCTCTCTCCTTTCTCTCTTTAAAAAAATTAGATAATGACATGACAGTATTTTAGCACCCACTAGACTTTTCATAATATTTTCTTTTATAAGTAAATTTTTTCATAAGTTGATAAATAACAAAACCCATGCAACTAGATCATCATGGTACTATAGTATGATCCTCCCCACCCCATCTTCTTGTGCACATGTTAGTTTACAAAAATAAATTTTATATTTCAAGAATTGGTTTTTGTTTTCAATTTTTTGTGTGTTTTATTTTGTGGCACTGGGGATTAGAATTCAAGGTTTGGTACTTGCTAGGCAAGCAGTCTACCACTGAGCTACATCCCTAGCCATTTTTAAAAAATATTTTATTTTGACACAGAGTTTTACTAAGTTACCCAGGCCAGTCTTGAACTTGATGCTCTTGTCTCAGCCTCCCGAGTACCTGGGATTACAGATGTGCACTAACACACTCACTTCCAGTTCTTAAACATAGTATAGAAAAAATAGCTTTGAGGATTTTGTGCAGACAGAATTTATTACAAAACTAATTTGGTAAAAAATATTTTTAAAAGACATTGTCGCATTCCAACCTTCTGCTGGAAGAAATGCAATCACAAATGACAGTGTTACAGAAGATCAGCCATTGATAGATTGGGATCAAATTCGAGAGGATGCTGTGAAATGGGAAAAAAAAAAGTGGGCAGGTCAGTGCTATGTCCTAAGATTTACATATGCTATTGATTATACTAGTTCTTTTCTGTAAGATATCTGCCATATTTTTAGCAATGAAATCCAAATGAAAAATGGAAAATTTGTCATTGATCTAAATCATAATCATTTCTTTTTCTTTTTTTCATTTATTGATTCTTTTTTTAATTTGTTTTAATTAGTTACACATGACAGTACAATGATCTTGACATACTGTACATTTGAGTCAGATGGGATATAATTTCTCATTTTTCTGAGTGTACAGGTTGCAGAATTACATTGGTCATGCAGTCATGTATATACCCACAGCAATAATAATGTCTATTTTATTCTACTATCCTTCCAGTCCCTCCTTCCCCTTCCCTCCCCTCCCATCACTTCTCTCTACCCAATCTAATGTGACCCACTTCTTTTTTTTTTTCCCCTGACACCATACCTGTATTCTGTATAACGAAGGGGGTCTCCTTTCCCCTTCCATGCAATTCCCATTCTCCCTCCCTTCCCCTCCAACCTCTCTTCCCTATCTAGAGGTAATTTTCTTGTCATGCTCTTCCTCCCTACCCTATTTTGAGTCACCTCCCTTAAATCAGAGAAGACATTCGGCATTTGTTTTTTTGGGATTGGCTAACTTCACTTAGCATAATCTGCTCTAATGCCATCCATTTCCCTGCAAATGCCATGATATTGTTATTTTTTAGTGCTGAGTAATATTCCATTGTAGTCATAATTATTTCTATAATTCTATTTTATAAATGGAAAACTGAATATTAAGCTTATGCATTATTTGAGGTAACTCACTGTAAAAAGTTTAAGAAAAAGGAAGAAAATCAGCCCCAAGAATTAAGTGTGAAGTGACTAAACATATCAACCATAAATTGTTGTGGTGGTTGATGAAAAATTTATTTTGGAATGACCTAGCTAACAATAGTGAGAAAAAGGGAAAACCATTAAATCATAAAAAGCATAACTTATTGAGACAGGTTTTTTTGGATTTTTTGACCAGGCTGGTCTCCAACTGTGATCCGCCTGCCTCAGCTTCCTGGGTTCACTGGGATTATAGGCATGCACCACCCCATCAGGCATTTATTAATTCATTTATTTACTTATTTATTTGGGGATTGAACCCAGGGGTGCTTTAACACTGAGCTAAGTCCTCAGCTATTTTTATTTTTTTATAAATTGCTGAGGCTGGCACGAACTTGTGACACTGCCTCACCCTCCTAAATCATTGGGGATTATAGGCAAGTGCCATGTACTTGGCCATTTTTTAATTTTAAATGAAATTTCACACATGGTATATTAAATCTGGGTATGTTTTAGATAGTAATCTGGGCAATTAGAGTGAGGCATCAATACTGCATCTTTTATATTAAATTAAAAAATAATGCACTGGAATAGAATGATCAAATTATAAGTGACTAACATCATTGTTGGTCAGCACATTTGCATGTTAAGTTTCCAGAGCTACCTTTTCAATAGATCTGTTGTGAGATTTGCTATGGGAAGTCAGAGGAAGGATTTAAGTTTAGAAGAGGTCTCAGGCATATAAGATATATTGCTCAGAGCAGAAGAATGAAAATTTTTTAATTTCCTAAAAAAATAATGGTATGAAATGTTAACTATGTTTGAGGGCAAACCATCATAAACTGGTTTTCTGTCTTGTAAAGCATGCTTTACTTTATTTGAAACTTCAGTAATAAAAGTCTCTTTCTTGGATGAAAACCAAAAGGAAATAGCCTAGTGTGGCAACTCTTGGTTGTAAAGTATAGAACTGTCTAAAATTATCTAAACACATGGTGAACTTAATACATATTTTAGTTTGTTTTTGTGGCTTTGAGTAAATGTTAATGAAATATAAAATCTTATTACCAAAGTTTGGATTTTCACCTTTATAACCCAGATTTACCTCCAATTAAGAAAAACTTTTACGTTGAATCACCATCAACTAGTTCTATGACAGAAGTGCAAGTAGACAACTGGAGGTATGTAGTTTATTGTTAATTTAAGTATGCTTTTGTATAATTATGTTATTAGTATTAACTCTTTAGGCAAAGATTGAAATGATTGCATATGAAGCCTATGCTTGCTTTCCATATTTATGTTCAAATGAAAATAGACTTTCCATATTTATTCAGATGAAAACTTGGTTGAATCCTACATATTAGAAGACTGGTATCCAATAATGATGGAAAATGGGTTTTGTGTCTAGAGTAGACATATCGCTATTGAACAATAAAACGTGACTAATATAAGCTGAGGAACTGAATACAATCTTGCTGCTAACAATGGATCAGTCACCAATGGACTACATATATGAAGGGTGGTCCCATATGGTTATAAGATTATAATGGACCTAAACAGGTGTAGTGGTATACACTGACTCAAGACTGAGGAAGGAGACAGGGTATTTAGGGTTAAAATGCTGAGGCTGGCCTTAAACTTGTGATTCTCCTGCCTCTTTTTAGATAGAATCTTGCAAAATTGCTTATGGCCTCACTAAGTTACTGAGGCTGACCTCAAACTTAAGATCTCCAGTCTCAGCTTCCTTAGTCACTGGAATTCCAGGCATGAGCCACTGCACCTGGAAAATAGCAACTTCTAAAAATATTGTTATATAAAAATACATCTCAGCCTAGCATATATATGCCCACAATCCTAATTACTGGTGAGGCTGAGGCAGAAGGATCACAAATTGGAGGCCAGTCTGGGCAACTTAGTAAAACTATAAAATGCAAAGAGCTGAGACTATAGATCAATGCCCACCATGTGGGATGCCCTGGGTCCAATTCCTAGTACTGCAAATAAATAATTTTTAAAAATCTGTTATAAAACTAAGAATGGTATAGCAGGAGTGTGGAGGTATGGGGCTCACTTTGGGACAAATGACAAATTTTAGAATCATCTGTTAAATTAAGAAAATATGGGGGCTGGGGATGTGGCTCAAGCGGTAGCGTGCTTGCCTGGCATGCATGCGGCCCGGGTTCGATTCTCAGCACCACATACAAATAAAGATGTTGTGTCCGCTGAAAACTAAAAAATAAATATTAAAAAAAAAAGAAAATATGGAACATCACAGGCCCTCAAATGTTTGCCCATTCTGGTTTTGAATTATGAAACATGATTTTCAGGTTCTATTTATAATTTTGCACATGAAATTTATGGGTCCATTCATAATAGTGATTATCGCCTTTCTTCTGAAACTATCCTCAGATAGGAGGAAGATGGGCTTCTGTTTCTATTTCTTAGTATATTTCATTCTAAATTTTATGGTAGTCTGATTTTAATCATTTACAGTTGAATTTCAAAGTAAAACTTTTTTTTTTTAGAAATTTCTTTCTTGTGAGTAAGCCTAAGCCACTAATCCTCATTTTTTTTTGTTTTTCCTGTAAAGGAAGGAAAATTTTAATATAACATGTGATGACTTGAAAGATGGTGTGAAGCGCCCTATCCCCAATCCTACCTGTAAATTTGAAGATGCCTTTCAATGTTACCCTGAAGTTATGGAAAACATTAAAAGGGCAGGTTTCCAGAAGCCAACTCCAATTCAAGTATGCTTTCCTTAATTCTAGTGTTTCACTGAATGTTTTACCTAAGCAATATTGGATATATATTAAATCACCATAGAACAATTATCTCTTATGAACATTCTAGTTCTTCCTACCACTACCACCAATGCCTTGCATTCAAAATTGTTAAATGAAGTGTGGAGCTGGGAGGAAGACAGAAAGACATAACAAGAAGAGATATGCTCTTGTAGTGTTTATTATTCTTTTTCAGTCACAGGCATGGCCAATAATTCTACAAGGAATAGATCTTATTGGAGTGGCACAAACAGGAACGGGGAAGACACTATCATATTTAATGCCTGGATTTATTCATCTGGATTCTCAACCAGTGTAAGAAATCTTTTGGCTGCCTTCTTTAAGAGTTTCATAGCTATAGACACCAAATATGTAATGAAGATTTCTTTATCTAGTACATTAATCAAAAAGGAATGCCTTGTCTCCAGCAACTACATGCTTATACAGTGCTGATGAAAGTATAAATTGGCAAATTTTTTTAGGAAGCAATAGGTAATGCTACAAAAGCCTTAATAGAAGAACAGGAACGCTGATTCAAATTATTTAAATTATCACGTTCAATCCAGTTCTCTTTTCAATGAGAACATGTTTCACATTTTAAATGAATGTTAATGAAAAGGCCATATTAAATGAAAAAGTTGGGTAATTGGGATACTGGGTTTTTTCTTTTGTTACTTATGTTTTGTGGGGAGGACAATTTATTCTAGGCCAGGTCTAAAATTGCATGCTGTACCATTCCCTATTATAATCCACACCGACAAGAGAATGTGCCTTAACACCAGCTCTGCTGGAAGCTTGCAAATGTCTGCTATTTGATTCCTATGAGTTCATTCAGTCTTCTCCATTGGTACACTTAGCAAGGCTCTCCACCCTCGTAGTACAAGACCCCTTAAACATAAATTCATTTTGTATAGAGAAGAGAAAAGACTGGTATATTGATTGTTCCTCATTTAAACCATGACTTAAACCCTGTCAGGATTTAACTGTTATTTGGATTTGTTATTTGTATGACTTCTTATATTTCCCCAATTTATGGTTAATATTGCTTTTATAATCAGAAAGAATTTACAAAAACTTGTCATACCATTAGCTTATTTTATTTGGTATGTAACAAATAGTAAGCCAAAGTCTATTGAAGGACACTGTAATATCTTTTTAAAAAATTTTTTTAGGGGTTGGAGATGTGGCTCAAGCGGTAGCACGCTCGCCTGGCATGCGTGCGGCCCGGGTTCGATCCTCAGCACCACATACAAACAAAGACGTTGTGTCTGCCGAGAACTAAAAAATAAATATTAAAAACTTCTCTCTCTCTTTCTCTCTTTAAAAAAAATTTTTTTAGTTGTAGATGAACACAATACCTTTATTTGATTTATTTATTCTCTTGTAGTGCTGAGGATTGAACCCAGTGCTTCACACATGCTAGGCAAACACTCTACCACTGAGTCACAACCCTAGCCCTTGTAATGATATCTTACAAGGTACAAATGTCTCTCTACATACATCCATCTTTGACAGTCATTGCTATAAATTTCTAAACTAAGTATACCATGCATCTGAGATAGGCAATCTGTTTTTCTTTCCAAAGAGATAGAGAGAAAAGGAATGGACCTGGAATGTTAGTCCTTACACCAACTCGGGAACTGGCTCTTCAGGTTGAAGCTGAATGTTCTAAATATTCATATAAAGGTCTTAGGAGGTAAGTAATTTCTTTGGTCATTTCTGTGCCAGTATAGTATTTATTTATTTGTAGTACTGGGAACCTAACCAAGGTTTTTCATATACTAGGGAATACTTACCACTGGGCTATTTCCCTAGGCCCATAAACTGTTATGTTAATGGAGTACCATTGTAAAATTTCAATGCATGAATACATTGTATAACATTTAAATCAGAGCAGACATCTTTTCTCAAATATTAATTCATTCATTTATACATTTATTTATACTAAGGATTGAACAGGGTCACTTTATCCCAAGGCTAAATTAAAGCACCACCCCTACTTTTTAAAAAATCTATTTAGTTATAGATAGACACAATACCTGTATTTTATTTATTATGTGGTGCTGAGGATCGAATTCAGTGCTTCACATATGCTAGGTGAGTGCTCTACCCTTGAGCTACAACCCAGCCCACAAGCCCTTTTTTATTTTAAGACAAGGTCTTACTAAGTTGCAGGCTCTGGTCTGGAACTTGCTATATTCCTGCCTCAGCCTCCTGTGTCACTCAGATTAATGATTTATACATTAGTAATGTGTATATTTATGCATCTTCTTGCTTTTCACCTATTTAGAAGGTGAAGAGCTTAACAAGGGTCCTGCATCTATTCATTGATCCAATCAACAACAACTATGTAGTATGATTAAGTTATGATACATGGTTCTTTAATTTTTACCACTGTGAATTGGTGGTTGTGGATAGTTCTTAGTCATCTGACACTTCATCGTATCTATACCCAGAATGCATAGATTAATTGGGATTTTCAGTTATGATTGGATGTCTAACCATGAACCTCTGAATTTTTTTTTAAGTGTTTGTGTATATGGTGGTGGAGATAGAGATGGACAAATACAAGATGTTTCAAAAGGTGTAGACATCATTATTGCAACTCCCGGAAGACTGAATGATCTGCAAATGAATAACTTTGTGAACTTGAGAAGTGTAACATACTTGGTAATCATGTAGACGTTGGGAATGTTGGGGAGGAAAACAACTCCTTCTTAAAATATTTTTAAGATGGCTTATATAATGGTTTTAGATTCTAGGAATATTTCCCATTTCTTTAAGTATATTGAAATAAGGATTGAAAATGAAATTAATTACAAAGGAGTTATTAAAATCTACTTGGTTGGTTTATGTATTTATTCTCATTAAACAGATTTAGAAGATACTGGAAAGTCAACTAAAACAAATCTTTTTTGTGTGTGCATGTGCAGGGGATTGAACCCAGGACCTTGTGCTTGCAAGGCAGGCATTCTACCAGCCCACAGATCTGTTCTTATGACTTCAAATGGCTTAATTATTTTTATCTCTAGGGAAATGAGGGATTTTTTTGGGGGGGTGGGGGGCTAGGGATTGAATCCAGGGTGATGTTGTTTTTTTTTTTTTTTTGGTTTTTTTGAGACAAGGTCTCAGTTACTGATTATCTTGCTAAGTTGCTGAAACTGGCATGGAAGTGACAATATTGTTGCAGCCTTCCAAGTTGCTAGGAATACAGGCATGTGCCACCATGCCCAGCAAAATGGTTATTATATTTGTAAAGAAAGCATACATATTAGCTAACTCTCATCTAATCAGCCACATTCTTAACTGTGAATTCAGGTTTTAGATGAAGCAGACAAGATGCTGGACATGGGATTTGAACCCCAGATAATGAAGATTTTGTTAGATGTACGCCCTGACAGACAGACTATTATGACAAGGTAGGTATGCTTAATTTGTGTAAAATAAAAGTCAGTGGATTAGAAACTCACCTTGATTGATTCTCCAGAATATTTTAGAGCATCACTAGAAAGTATTTTGAGATCCTTAGGTGAAAGAAGATATCATCACTTAGTTTAGCAACTCAGTGTAAGCATAAGATGACTGCTTCACTCCTGACTACTCCTAAATTACAGATAGGGGCTTTTGGTCTTTTTGTTTTTGTTTTTGTTTGTTTTGTGGTGCTGAGAATTGAACCCAGGGTCTTGTAAACATTTACTTCTCATGGAAAGAGCTACATTTAATAACGCATCACTTGTCCTTAGACACTCTACATTTATGTAACAGTTTCTATTGATTCTATATATTTTGTCTTTATTTGCATTAAGGATCGTGTAAAATTGAGGAAATACACTAAATCTCACTGTTTTCGTTAAAATTGAGGAAATACACTAAATCTCACTGTTTTCTATAATCTTGCCATTCAAGAAAAGTAAAATTCAATTTCATTGTAAGTACTCTAAAAGTATAAAATGTGGTCACTTTCATTTTATATATGGTTGAAGAAACATTGAAATTTATATCCTTTGACCACTGTACTTAATGATGTGGTTTTTTTTTTTGTTGTTGTTGTTGTTCTTTTTGGTACTGGTGATTGAATCCAGAGGTGTTTAACCAATAAGCCACATCTCCAGTCCTTTAAATATTATCAACTCTCAAGTCACTGTTCATATTTACTTGTATGTCATTATCAACCCTGTTTAGATCACAATCTAAACACAAGTCTACATATGTATGTATATGGAAGTCTAGTATTCCCTTTTTATAAAGTTAAAATGATCACTAAATTCAAACATTGTTAGCCGAGCCCACATTAAAAAGGTTTGGATATTATATATACATATATACTTTTTTGGGGGGGATACTGGGGATTGAACTCAGGGGCACTCAACCACTAAGCCATATCCTCAGCCCTATTTTGTATTTTATTTAGAGACAGTGTCTCACTGAGTTGGTGAGGCTGGCAATCCTCCTGTATCAGCCTCTCAAATTTCTGGGTTTATAAGCATATGCCACCATTTCTGGAAAAATATTTGTATGTGATATCAACAAAAGCCTGACATTGTATGAAAATTACTAGTTTATGTGTGTTGGTTAATGCTAATTCCTTTTTTGTTCCTTCTGGTACTGAGGATTGAATGGGGTTTCATGCATGCCAGGCAAGCTTTCTACCACTGAACTATATCCTCAACCTTTTTTCTCTTTATTTTGAGACAAGGTCTCATTAGGTTGACAAGGCTATCCTTGAACTCTGGATACTCTTACCTCAGCTTCATTAGTAACTGGCATTACAGGCATGTAATTACCATGCCAACCTATAAAAACCTTTTTTTTTTAAACTGGTGATTGAAGCTAGAGACTCTTTACCACTGAGCCACATCCCCAGCCCCACCCCTACCTTTTTTTTTTTTTTTTTTTTGAGACAGAGTCTCATGAAGTTGCTTAGGGTCTAGCTAAGTTGCTAAGGCTGGCTTTGAACTTGTGATCCTCCTTTCTTAGTCTCCCAAGCTGTTGAGATTACAGGCATGTGCCACCATACTCAGCTTGTAAAAAATTTTTAGTTGAACCTATATAAGTTTCTAGTAGTTTTACTATAGCTCAGTAATTCATTGTCAATTCTGTAACATCTGCCTTATTGAAAAGATAGGAAATAGTAAACTTTTCTTTCACCAGTAACTTGGTTCATATTAAGCTTAATAAATTGTAATTTTAAAATGTATTTATAGTAAATGTTTAATGTTGATGTGTCTTTATTCTCAGTGCTACTTGGCCATATGCTGTCCGTCGACTTGCACAGTCTTATTTGAAAGAACCAATGATCGTCTATGTTGGTACTTTAGATCTCGTTGTAAGTTTATTTTTTATTACTAATATATTGATATGTTTATTAAGACTTTTCATATGACATTTAAAACACATAGCTAAATGGCTAGTGATATTTCTGTGAACAAGAATGAACAAGGCCCTGGGTTCAATCCCTAACAGCAAAAAAGTCCAAAACAAAAGCAAACCATAAAAAATAGCTGATTTTGGCATATCTGCTCTGCCCACTCAATTTCAGAGCTAATCCCAGTGGCACATAATCTTACCCATATATCCATATACTTCAGTGTATATGTCCAAGATTCATTTTATTAAAACTATAGTACCTAGTATGTGCAAGGCATTCCAAAAGAGGAAAGTGGGTCTTTCCTAGCTCTGTATTTCATTAGAGATTTGCAGATGGTGATCAAATAGTTTTATAAAATCATTAATCATTCAGGAAAGGCTCTATAACTGCTGGATTTCCCCACCCTTCATTAAATGCTTAGTAAAATATTATCTATGTAAACAAATATTTTCATTATGGGTTGAATGGTACCAGTAATATTTTTAATTTTTTTTATTAAATTGTCAAAATCAAAATACTCACTGAATTGTGAATCCTCGATTGTAATGTGACCACCCTTCATTCTAAGTGGTACTCAGAATTCAGGATGATATTTTTCAAAAGCTTTACATTCGTTCAGTTATTTTCCTATAGTGGTAATCATTGCTTTTAGCATACTCTGAACACTATTAAAGTGTTGTCAACTTGAATAAATAAGTGAAAGGGTGAACTAAGCGGGAACAGACAATTTTACTAGGATCTTTGCTTTTTGTTGGCAAAAACCTTAACCAACATTGCATTTTGAACTAATGATGTCTCCTTTACACATATGTGCTATGATCTTTGAATCTTTTAGGCTGTAAATACAGTGAAGCAAAATATAATCATCACAACAGAGGAAGAGAAGCGAACTCATATTCAAACTTTTCTTGAGAGTATGTCACCTAAAGATAAAGTCATTGTGTTTGTCAGCAGGAAAGCAGTGTAAGTATTTTCTCATGCTTGCATTAAAACCAAACAAATTGATTTGCTTAAGATATTTCTGTTTGTATATTTTCAAATAGGGGCAACCTGTCCTTTACATTATTATTCAATGTTTTGCTAATAGAAGGAAAGCTAATGAGTTGATGGTGTCATGAGAATAAGCACTTAAGATCACTGTCCTATCTTTTCTTTCAGTGCTGATCACTTATCAAGTGACCTAATTCTCAGACACATATCAGTAGAGTCTCTTCATGGCAACAGGGAACAGAGTGATCGTGAGAAAGCATTAGAGAACTTTAAAACAGGTACATATGTAACTGTTTTCTGTTACAGTTTAAAATAAACCCAATACCTGGACTTGGCTGAATGACAGCGTCTTTTCATGGAACTCATTTGTAAGTTCATATATCCTCAGCATACACTGCTCCAAAATATACTTACTAGAGCTCTAAATATTAATTTGCTCCTTACAACTAAGTTGCCAAGCCCCAAAAAGGCTAATACTTAAACCTGTGTATCAGTGTATTACTTTGTGATGGGAGCTGTGTCGCAATTTACATAAAGGCATATATCTTTTTGATATTGGCCAGATGGTGGAGTGACCACTGGCTCAAGTATGTTATCTATTGTGTTGTAATTTGCCATCATTTAAATAAATGTAGTTACCATTTTCAATGAGCTTTTTAATGAAAGTTAATAATAGTTCACCTGATTAAGAATTAATGGGAGGGCTGGGTCTAGTGGCCCATGCTTATAACCCCAGATACTAGGAAGACAGACATCATGATACCAACTGAAGACCAGCTTGGGCAACCTAGTAAGACCCCATCTCAAAATAAAAAAATAAAGGGCTGAGATGTAGTTCAGAACACCTGGGTTCAATTCCCAGTGCCAAGAATAATAAAGGAAAAGGCACTTTTCATTTGTCTTGGATTGGTTTATATCAGAATGATTTGATATTTATTTGGGTTCACTCTTTAGGTAAAGTGAGAATATTGATCGCTACTGATTTGGCATCTAGAGGTCTTGATGTACATGATATCACACATGTATATAATTATGATTTTCCACGGAATATTGAAGAATATGTACACAGAGTAGGGAGAACTGGAAGAGCAGGGTAAGTAAGTATAATCTACCCTTGAAAAGGTCAATTCTGGATTCTCATCACAGACTATTCCTGCCCAGAAAACCATACTTTTTTCTTCCTTATAAATTCTGTTCCTCCCCACAATCTGCTTGGCTTCTTCACCCCTATTCATTTGACCTATGCAGATTCAACTATACCATGTCACTACTAGGTTCATGTAATTGTTTCTGATACTTTGGTTTTATGTCTATAATGTCACAATACTGAGCTATAACAAGTGATTACTTCATTTACCAATTATTCAAATTGAGTCAGTGTGGTGGTCCACGTCTGTAATCCCAACAACTCAGGAGGCCAAAGCAGGAGGATTGTAAATTCAAAGCCAGCCTCAACAATTTAGCAAGGCACTAAGCAACCGTACCTCAAAAATAATAAGGACTAGGGATATAGCTCATGGTAAAGCATTCCTGGATTCCATCCCAGTACCAAAAAAAAAAAAAAAAAAAAAAAAGGTGCTGAAATTGGTAATGGTATGAGAGAGGATTGTTTTTTCCCTACTGTTATACCCTCTTGTGCAATTTGAACAACTATAGATTACAGACATTTCTTGTTAACTTCTCTAAAATAATGAAGTAAGCCTGGTGTGGTATGGATTAATCCAGGTGCAATGGCACACATCTGTAATCACAGTGACTCCAGAGGCTGAGGGAGGATTGATTGCAAATTTGAAGCAATCTAGCCAGATCATGTCTCAAAATGACCAGGGATATAGCTCAACAGTAGATCTCCACTGAACTTAATCCTGTGTAACACCAAATAAAAATATTTAAATTGTAAAATATTATAATGACTAATTGTAGTTCAAAAAAATGTTTTTCAGTACTGGGGATTTAGCCTAGGGTCTCACAAATACTAGCCAGGTGCTCTACCACAGAACTACCACATCCCCTGCTATATTAGTACAGCATTTGTATTGTATTAGGTAATATCTAGAATATTTCAGAAAAATTTATGTACTGAATATACTTTTTTCTTTAACCAATGGAGTATAATAGCTATTCATGTGATTTACAGGTATTAGGTAATGTAAGTATTCTAGGGATGATTTTAAAGTATACAGGATAATGTAAATGTTATGCAAATGCTATGGCATTTTATATAAGGGACTTTATTATCATCAGATTTTGGTATCCTCAGAAGTTCCTTGAGCCATCTCCTTTGAATACTGAGGGAATGATTGTTTTTAAGTTCTAAAATGCTATTTGCATAACCCTATTTGCATAATATATTTTAATACATAATATATATTTGGTCTTTGAGCAAAAAAAAAGTTGTTGTACCTATTTTTACATTACTTTCTATGTTAACTAAATAATGAATACATACTATAAAAGAAATTACATGAGGTTTTTTTTTTTCCTTCCCATTGAAGGAGAACGGGCATGTCAATTACTCTTATCACTAGAAATGATTGGAGGGTTGCCACTGAATTGATTAATATTCTGGAAAGAGCAAATCAGGTGAGAATATGCAAATCATTAGAAATCTATACCTTTGTGTTTCAGTCATTATGCCCGACATTGGATCACACAGTTTATAGGGATAAACAGTTAAAAACCAGTTTTTATAACATGAGGGCTTGTAAAATGGCAAAGAATAGGAGCTATGGGAGATATAATTGGAATCTACTCTAATGTTAATGAGCAATGAAAACCCTGCCGAGGAAGCAACCAGCTGGTGGAGGTGGGAGTTGTACAAGATGGGGTGAGTGTTCCAGGAGTGGAAACAATTAGGATTAGAGGTAAGGCAATGTGTAGGAAGTGGTACCCCAAAAAGGAATATTAGGACATTGGGAATAAGCTGAAGGACTATTCAAGCAGGGGAGTGGCATAATGATGGGTATATTTTAAATCTGTCTAGTTTAGGGGTTAATAGGCAAACATTTCTTTTTGGAAGATGTCATTTACTTTGTAGATTCTTGAAATGATTTGGAGGCATGTTAGTATATTAAAAGAACTCAGAATCCTAATCACACTTTTAATAATTTCAGAGTATTCCAGAGGAGCTTGTCTTAATGGCTGAGAGATACAAGGCAAATAAACTGAAAAGAGAAATGGAAAAAAAAATGGGAAGACCTCAAGGAAAGCCCCAAAAGTTTTATTAATGACTAAATGCTGAAAAGTGGTACTAACCTGCCAGAGGTAAAAATTACAAACTCCTGCCTTTTAAAACTAGATTTTGTTAGTATATTTATCAAAATCAGCATTATCTCCAAGAGCCTCGAATTATTGGGTGTTATTCTTTCACCTGTTAGCAAAAGTCTAGTTAATCTATCTGCAGTACCTTAATTAAATGTAGAGTTGGGGCACATGCCTATTATCCTAGCGACTCCTTAGGCTGAGGCAGGAAGATCAAAAGTTCAAGGCCAGCCTGGAAAACAGCAAGACTTGTCAATAAAATAAAAAGGCTGGGATGTAGCTCAGTGGTAGAATGTTTGCTTAGCATGTGCAAGGTCCTGGGTTCAATATTTTATGTAAATAAATATACATATTTACTAATTCAGTGTTGACAATAAACTAGTTGTTCAGAGAAGTCATTGAGTGTAAAAGATCTGGAGACAGAACCACCTTTGAGATGTATAAATACATACCTTTTTTTAATCAAAGAATTTGACCTTTATTGTTTTTATGTGGTGCTGAGGATCAAATCCAGTACCTCACCTATGTTTGTTCTGCCACGAATCTACAACCCCAGCCCACATATATCTTTTGATCTAGTAATACTTCTAGGAAAGTATTCTGTTAGTGTGTGTGTGTGTGTGTGTGTGTGTGCGCGCGCACACACACGTGCATGTTTAAAAAATTCATAACAATATTTGTAGTTGCAAAATCTAATATGTCCTCTAAGTGATTAGATGAATAAGCAATGGTAGATCAAATGCTACACAGCACCACGTTTACTCTCCAGCTGTTCAAAAATATGTGAGCCATCCTTAGATGTCTGGTGTTCAAAGCAAAATTTTTCCCTAGGACAATGAACTGAGTTAACACAAGACACCCTTCTTTATTTCAGATTCAATAGAAAATATTGGATATATTTTAATACTTTAAAAACTCAAAAGAAGTTAGAACTGACAACAGTTGTTGACAAGATCAGAGGAAATCATGCACTGCCTTGGATATACAGGGAGAAAATAGAGCAAAGCTCAGAAATAATGTTTAAAGTATCCTCATTTTTTTAACATTTTAATATAGGTTTTGCATAAAATCACAATTACCAGTGTTGGCATCTAGTTTGTTTTTTCGTTTTATCAAACTCATTGTGTACCCAGAGTGGCCTCCCAACTCCAGGACTCAGGTAGTCTTCCTGCCTCACCTCCCAAGCGCCTGAGAGTACATGCTTCATATGCCACAGATCCTGGCTTGTACCCGGTTTTACTTTTGTTTGAAAATATTAACCAAGAATAACCTAAGATTAAATCATAAAAAAAAATCAGAACAGAACTATAACTAGTAAGAAGGTTGAATCAGTGTTAAAACTTCCCCACAAAGGAAAACCTAGAATTAGATGGCCTCACTGAATTCTGGCAGACATTTAAAAATCAACATTAATCCCCTCAACCTCCATTTTCAATCCCCCTCTATGGGGCCCTTATCACCCTGACACTAAGGCCAAACACTAACACCACAGAATAATATCCCTGAATACTGAAGACTCAAAATAATAGCTAAATGATTCAGTAGTACTTTAAAAAGATTAATTCCATAACCAGGTGGAATTTATTCCTGTAATGCACACATTGCTCAGTGTACAGAAATCAAATATTCCAACATTAATAAAAGGGGGGAAACAACATGACAAGTGGCTATTTAAATTGACATAGAAGAATAATTTGATAAATACATTAACAATGATCACGATGAAAACTAAAAACAGAAGGAAACAACCTGAATATAATAAAGCCATAAAAATGGTCCGTGGGGGGAAGAATAGAAGTTCACTGGATTAGAAAACCAGGAATGATGGGAAGGGAGTGGAGATGGCAATAGAAAAGATAAAATTTTCTATATTCACATATTAATATACCACTAGTGAAATCCACATCAGGTGCAACTACAAGAACAGGATTCTAGGGCTGGGGATGTGGTTCAAGCGGTAGCAAGGTCGCCTGGCATGCATGCAGCCTAGGTTCGATCCTCAGCACCACATACAAAGATGTTGTGTCCGCCGAAAACTAAAAAATAAATATTAAAAAATTCTCTCTCTCTCTTTAAAAAAAAAAAAAAAAAAGAATGGGATTCTAAATGCGAAGTTATACATTATATGTATGATATGTCAAAACATCTTCTACTGTAATGTATAACTAAAAAAAAATACTAAAAGAATGGGTTCTAATTAGAATAAGTTATACTCCATGTATGTAAAATACATCAAAACACTCTACTGTCATGTACATGTAAACGACAAATTTTTAAGTCTGTGGTAAAAACAAAGGACTATAACAAGCAGGCTGTCACTACTTCCATTCACCATAGTTCTGGGAATTCTAGCTGGAGCAAGGAGGCAAGAAAATGCAAGGACCTCAACTGGAAAAAGGGGTATCTTTACAGAATACATGAGCTTAGATGTAGAAAGTCCTAAACATTCCACAAAAATCTGGCAAGTTGTAGAATGTAGACTTAATAAATTAGTTGCATTTCTGAAATGTACAAATAATAAACCAAGAATTTAAGAAAATGATTCCGTTTTATAGTGGTAGTAAAGAATAAAACATTCAAAAATAAACCAAGTACATGTACTCTGAAAACCAGAAGTTAAATAGAATGGTAACCCTGTCTGTAAACCACAGTATTTATTTTAATATGTATAGTATTTCTGGAAACACTACTACTAAGACTATATGTAAATGTAATTTGTAAATTATTTTACAAATAATTTCTTATTTTCCTTTATGTATCAGACATAATCTTAGATCCTGCTCTGCTGTTTATGTAAATGTAATGATCCTGGCAAAATACTTGTCTCACTGGTCAAGCAAAAATATTTTACAAATGTTCTGAGGAAAAAATGCTGATAATCACATAAGAATTATGAAAATTTAGGCAACACTTCAAAGTTGGTAAAAGTTGGTTGTTTTTTTATTTTTGTAGGGTACTGGGAATTTAACCCAGGCCCTTGCACATGCTAGACTCCTTATAACACCTCAACTTTTTGAGGATGAAGTATTTTTCTAGGAAGAATTATTTTACAAATAATTTCTTATTTTCCTTTATGTATCAGACATAATCTTTGATCCTGTTCTGCTGTTTATTCTTAAGATGTCAATACTACCCAAAGCAATCTACAGATACAGAACAATTTCTATCAAAATCCCAATGGCTTTTTTTTTTTTCCAAAATGGAAAAAGTTGCCGGGCGTGGTTGTGGATGCCTATAATCCCAGTGACTCTGGAGGCTGAGGCAGGAGGACCATTTCAAGCCCAGCTTCAGCAACTTATTGAGGCCCTGAGAAACTCAGTGAGACCCTGTCTCTTAATAAAATACAGCAAAGAGCTAAGGATGTGGCTTGATGGATAAGCACTGCTGGGTTCAATCCCTGGTACAAAAAACAAAAGAAAAATTTTATCCTAAAATTAATATGGGATCTCAAAGGACCCCTAAGTACCAAAACAATTTTGAGACAATGTAATTGGCCAGGTACACACACCTAGTTCAGGACTTAGGAGGAAGAAGCTGGAGGATTATGAGTTCAAGCCCAGCCTAGGCAGCAAAGGGAGACATTGTCCCAGAAATTTAAAAATAGATAGTTGGAGTACTCACTTCCTCATGTAATTTTATAAAGCTATAGTAATTAAAACAGTGATATTAGCATAATAGATATATATCAATAATATAGAATATACAACCCAAAAATATACCCTTAAATAATTTAAAACCTTGTATTATCAGTTGATTTTCAACCATGCATCAAGACCACTCAATAGGGAGGGGGAATAGGAAGGGGATAGGAAGGGCAACAGAATACAACAGACACTTGTATGGCAGCATGTATAAACGTGGCTGTATAACCAATGTGATCCTGCAATCTGTACATGTGGGAAAAATAAGAATTCATACCCCATTTGAATCAAATATATGATTTATGATATGTCAAGATCATTGTAATGTTTTGAGCAACTAATTAAAAAAAAAAGAAGACTACTCAATAGGGCAAGGGCAGTCCCCTCAACAAATGTTGCTGAAAAAAATTGTAGAACCACATTCCAAAAGAAAGAACATGGAGCCTTAAGTTACAACATACAATAATTAACACAAGATGGATTAAAAACCTAAAATGTTAAGACCCAAACTATGAAACTCCTAGGAGAGAAAAACAGGAAAAACTTGACATTGGGTTTGTTAGTAATTTCTTGGGTGTAACATTTGTGCACAATGACATAAAATGAAAAGGCAGCCTATGCAATTGGAGAAAATATTTTCAGATCACATCTGACTAGGAGTTAACATCCAAAAGAACTGGTACGACTCAACAAAAACATAAAACCTAGTGAGAAAATGGGAAAATAAATATGTATTTATCCAAAGATAATATACAAATGGAAAATAACCATATGAAAAAAATGCTCTCTATATCACTAGAGAAAGTTAAAATAACAAAAGAACAATGAGAAAAAAAAATGACAAGTGTTGGCGAGCAAGTCCAGAAACCAAATGGATGAGCCTTAGAGCTATTATGCTAAGTAAAATAAAACAGTCACAAAAAGGTGTACCCGCTTATATCTAAAATAGTAGAAACAAAGCAAAATGGTGGTTATCAAAGACTGGTGGGGTTGCAGGAAAAGCAAGAGTTATTATTTAATGGGTACAGAATTTCAGTTTTTTAAGATGAAATGTTCTGGAGATTTGTTGTGTGACAATACAAACACTACTGAACTGCACACAAAAATGGTTAAAATAGTAAATTTTAGGTACATTTCATCACAATTAAACTTTAAAAACAATGTTGGGAATAGTAATTTATATTTTTTTCTCTGTTTACTTTTCAGAATTCAAGATATTTTAGAAATACGTTATTCGAGATGAAAAGAAGTATTGAAACGTCCAGTAGTATGAAGAGACAGCTGATTCTTAACATAATAGTGTTTAAAAATGTAGAATCCCAAAA